ATCCATCCATCCATCCATCCATCCATCCATCCATCCATCCATCCATCATCCCTGTTATTAAATGAAAGTGTCACTCTTGGATTAAAACCTGCAGCTGACCATGATTTCAATGTTCAAACTGTAAAAATATACGGGTTCTTGTCCTCATAGGACGAATTTTACATACAATTATTTAGTTTTGATGTTTTTGCAACTTGCAAAATAAAAAAATAAAAAAATCAATCGTCTGTGCAAAAATAGTGATTTTACTGTAAAAATGCGAGCGTCCCGTCACCCCGCCCTCAGAGTTCACGCTGCAGCAGACGAGTGGGCCTGACTGCACCAGGACCGGGCCAGCAGGAGGCCAGAACCAGAGATCTCCTCTGAAGGAGGTGACCGTGGCACAGTGACAGATCTGAGGATGACTCATGGTTTGGGGGGGGGTCAGATCTGAGCAGAGGGGGGCAGTCTCTTCCCCTCCCAGCAGCAGCGTGAAGGAGGATCCATTCAGACTGGCTCTGCCTGGCTGCACCTCCTCCCTCCAACACCCCAGGGAGGTTGTCAGAGCTGGAGGGACATAATAGAAAGGGTGGGTAAAGGTGCAGTCATGCAGGTGGAGGCACACGGTGGGGTGGGGGTGGGGGGTAGAAGGCAAAGAAAGGGGCTGCAGGAGCGAGGAATGACGTTGGAAACTCTCAAAGTAAAGTGAGGACGTGAGACAGACCCGCTGTGACACCAAACCATCCAGCTCTAGAGTCACTCTGAAGCCCCCACCCGGTTCTGCGGTCACCTCGGCCCCGGGCCAGCAGGAAACGACCCGGTCCGGCAGCAGCACGAGTCCTGACTCCAGCTGCGGGCGGCCTCAGACGGAGCCGCGGTTGAACTGGTCCAGGACGGTGGAGTTGGTCCTCTCGAACTGCCACTGCTGGCTGGGGGAGGAGGGGTCGCAGGTGTTCATGAAGACCCGGCGCTCGCTCAGGCTGCTGTCCACACAGCTGCTGCTGACCGGGTGGAACAGGCTTCTGTCCTGGAGGGGGGACAGAACGTTACTGGTGCTCCCGTTCAACAGCTCACCGCTTTAAACCCACACATACAGACGGTCACCTGGAGAGAACACAAACTGACAGCATGACCCAGCAGAACCTCCTTCAGCAGCAGAACCTCCTTCAGCAGCAGAACCCTCAGTAGGGTTCTGTTTCCATCTCTCTCATGGTTCTGGAGGAGTTCTGGCCCACTCTTCCTTCCATCGTTGCTTCAGTTCTCTGAGGGTTCTGATCAGCTCTCTGGAGGTCCACCATAGCGCATCAGTCAGGTTCAGGTTCTGGACTCTGACTGGACCGATGGTTCTGTTCTTTCAGACCCGTTCTGTTGTAGATCAGCTGCTGTGTTTGAGATCATGGTTCTGTTGGACCCAGTATGGTCCAAGCTTCAGCTGTTGGACTCCAGAACCTTTTGGTCTCAGTTGTTCAGAGCTGCTTGCTGCAGTGCATTCTGGGTAAACATCTCTACTTTAGTCTGGTTCTGGTCCAGAAGTTTTGTGGTTCCTTCAGATTAAACTTTCCAAACCTAAGTCGTGCTGCCATGTTATTTATAGAGAAGAGGTCATGACCTTTGACCTTTGACCCTCTGCCTGAGGCCTGTAGAGTCTGAGGTGGAGCTCTTTTCTCTGAGTGCACGTCACTGATTTCACAAAAGACTCTTCAGCTGCAGCTCCTGTGGTCGAGGAGGTGCATCAGTATAAACATCTGGGAACTGTTCTCCATGACAAACTGACCTTTGACCCCATGTGAGCTCACTTTGTAAGAAGGACCACCAGAGAACGTGTTTTTATCAGAAGCTGTGGGTTTAATGTTGATTTGACTTTTATGAGAACGTTTTATTGAGTCTCTTCACCTTCATCTGCTCCTTAGATAAATATTAACTGAATTTTATTTACCGTATTTTACGGACTTTAAGTCGCACTTTGTTTCATAGTTTGACCAGTCCTGCGACGTACAGTCCGAAATGACTTCATGTGTTTTTTTCTATTCATGACACGATTTCTGACTGACGTGTTAAATGTTCATTCTGACATGAAGCAAAGAGTAAACATGAACATTTGCAGCCACGAGAGGTCCTGTAGGCTTCTGACAATTAGATGTTGTTCTGCTAAACATCCCTGACCTACAGAACCTCCCTGACCTACAGAACCTCCCTGACCTACAGAACCTCCCTGACCTACAGAACCTCCCTGACCTACAGAACCTC